ATCATGCGTTAATGTGTCCACATGTCACAAGTATGAATGGATGACGAGCTGACTGGTTTTGTCTGTGAGCCAGCAGCCAAGCTGTGCTGTCCCCTCCCCTTCTGCTCACTGACAGTTGGACCCACGACCCCCTCTCTCCAGCCATTACCCTGTCCATACTTTACTTCTCTGTCACCCATATGTCATATGATCTGTGTATAAACTGCACCCTTCTCACTGCGATTTAACAATAGTTTGGAGTTTTATTTTAAAAAAAATTGCTAAAGCTAAAATAAAAAATAGATATAATTAACAATGGAAAAGAAAGGAAAACCAAAAAGGGACCATTATAATACAAATTATGAAAAAAGTAAAAAATAATCTTGTTCTGTAGGACTTTTTAGAAAAATGTTTCTTCCAAATGAGCAAAAGAGAAGAGACAACTTTTTGATAGCCGACCTCTGCTAGTACGATATTGAGGAAGATGAAGATTAGATGAACTAATCTGGTTCAGTAAGAAGACATTTATGAATTAGTTTGAAAAACTATTTATGAGATATCCCGCTCTAAATTGCATCTTGTACATAAAAATAAAGATTTTGAGAACAGTAATAGCATAAGTTGATTTTGCTTGTTTGCCATTGTAACAAAATGGCCCTGAGGGAAGGATACTTATGATCTTATGATGTATGAAAAGTAAGGACAAGCTAAGGGTATGGAATGCAGTGTTTGTCCAAAGAATATGTTACTCACCATAATGGCAACCCTTTTAACAAATTGTCTTCTGCTGGAAATATAATTTATAAGTCATAAACCATATTTCATGAATTTATACTTTAAAATGTTGTTATTCACTCTATCAAAAGCTTTTGAAGGAAATTCATTATTTTTAACTTTTTTTCATTTCCTTGAGTGTCACATGCTTTTAGCTCCTCACATTGCTGCCTCATTGCCTTATCTCTTATCGTTTCACTCTCTGTAAGCTGTTTGGTGCACGGTGGAACTAAAAAGGTTATTCTTTCCCCATGTTGTGTTAATTAGCAACAAAAGAGGCTGCAATACTCGGGGGCGGGGGGCGAGCTGGCACTGCCACTCCGCTCTCTTTCTGCCAGTCTCCTCTACATTTCTCTTTTATTTTTCTCCATTGCAAAGAATTACATGGCTTATGCTTCATCCCTGTTGCTTTCACTCATCCTTCCTTCCCTTGTTTTTTTATCCATCCAGCAGCTCTTGCATGCACCGTAGCTCCCATGTTAGCATAGCCAGCCCCATTTTTTTTATCTGACACACATGGCTGCCCTGTTGACTTTGATCCTCAGATCTTAGTATCAAGGGACCATTCACTCGTTCGCCTGGGGGAGGTGACAGAAATGTCTGTGTTTTCCTTCTGTGTGCATGAGAGAGAAAGGCGGGAGAAAAAGCACGACATGCAATAAGTGGAGAGTGCGAGATGACAGAGCCTGTGATCCAATATTTTCCCCTCTGAGATTTTGGGCTGGTTTCTCGGCCGCTCTCTGACATGTATGACATGAATCTAATCTCTTTGCGTCTTTGTTGTTGCCTGGCTGTCTCTAATGCTCTGTCCTTATTGGACCCATAGCCACGGTGATGGAACTATTGATGCCACCAGTCATTTGTTTGCTTGTCCATTCAGCCATTTAGATCCAGGGTTGTAATTTAAAGAATCAATAGTGAGCTGATGAAGCTACTCTATGCTAAACTGGTTCTCATGACACATGTAAGCAAAAGTGACTCAGTGCTTCATTTGTCTATGTAGCCTCCAGTCTTCCCAGTCCCCCTCTCTCTCTCGTATGCTTGTTTCACTTCTCTGTTTTAAAATACCCACTGCACCTGCAAATTACACCATGATTACAACTAATAAATCACATTAGACATAATTTCAAACACAACATCATCCACATTAAGTTCTATGGTGAAGAAAATGGTGCTCCAGATTTTAATTTGAAGGATAGGAATTTTCCTGGAGCCTGATAGTAAGATGTATGATGTTTTATCATTCGACACACAGCTTAATTATTTTTTATTTTTATTTTGCATGCAACCATCTTAGTTGTAGTTAAGATCTCAACAAGAATCACCACCGCAGTTCCAACTTATTGATCATTTAGAGTGGCAGGACATGACACCGATACGAAACCCTGTGGGTCAAAGTATTGCCAATCAGCCCATCCAAAACAGCCTTCTGTTCTGATGTCTTCCGCTAATGATGTCCAGTCCACAACGATAACCAGCAAACAAGACAAATTATCTCCTAGTCAAATAGCCAATTTGGATTAGTGTCAGTCTTGCACTTTCGTTCGACCTTCGTTTTCCGATGAGATTTTTTTTTCTTTACCTATCCTTCCTTTTGTAACCCTGTTTGGTTTTTGGAAAAGTGAGAAAATTAGCTACATCCTAAACTGCTGTAGATGTAAGATGTGAGAGAAGGTGTGTATTCATTGACCGCCTGTCCATCTGTCCATGCGCTTGTATGTGTGTGTGTCTCAGTGAACGGTGTCCAAGCGCCTGCTAATAAAGGAGTAATGAAGTGCCATGGAGATATGGAGAGAGCTGTCCACACTCACAGATGTGAAACTTAATGAGAGAGTGTGGAGCCATGTACAGGAGCCAGGCCAAGAGAGAGGATGGCCACCTGGCATTTATACCAGCAGGAACTTATGGAGGTGTTGCTTGTGTGTGTTTGACTGTTGGTCACTGTGTGTGTATAAACGTTCACGCTGTGTTATGCATGCATTAGCGCTGTAGTCCATGCACCAACCAGAACACTTAACTCCTTTTGCAGGTGGAGGCAAGTGGGGTGTAAATGTATCTCTTTTGACTGATAATTGTAGGCTATTAAATGAAACTGTTGTACTGTATAATGCTAGAAAGTGCAAGGGTTGCTCCACAGATTTACATTAGTGTGTTAATCAACAGCTAATCTTGCAATAAGCAGCCAGTTGTACAGTTAAGTCTTCACATTAAGCCTCATTTCTCTTATTTCAATTAACTAAAAGGAGGCGCTTAGAGAAAGCTTAGGAAGCCAGCTGCTGGCTCTGTAGCATTTCGACAGCTCATCTCTCCCCGAGTCCTGGGTAGCATTAGTCTCTCTGCAGGGAGCCTCACTGCCAGCTAGCTAGCTAGCCTCTGTGGGCTCATTCTTAACAACACACCTTAGCCTCAGGTGAGAGAGTGGCACGGTGCAGTGCTGCTGATAGCGCTCATTAGTCTCTGGATTAGCCCTGATTAGCCTAGCCGTTACTCCCAGTGATACGCCATGCTAATGCTAATTATGCATTAACCACTTTACCCTTTTTAGACAAGCTGTGTGCCTAGCTTTATTACCTTTTATTCTCCTGTGACTTTTTCTTGGCTGCGCCTTCGACACCAGTTGCACTGGTGGCACATTTCTTTCTCTACATTAACTAAATGTAAGCTAATTCAGCAGGTTTTTATCATCCACTTTGCGACACGTTGGTCTTGATAAGGAGCGGATATGGGGATGCTGCTGTTTGCGCAGAAAATAATCATCAAAAGTGTGTCAAGATAGGGTGCAATACCTACCTGAGCTGAGACAGTAATCACTAATAGGTGCTGTTCTGAAATGAAAAACAATGTGAGAGCATAATTAAGGGGGAGGAAACTGATTTCACGCCCAGTCAAGCAAACAGCTTTGTGGGAGTTTAACAAAAACATAGTTAGCTGGCAGATCAGAGTTTTTATTCCACTTGAGTGTTCATAAAGTTAAGCTACGATGAGTGTGACATTAAAGCAGCGTGAAGGCTGTCACAGGCAAGTGACAAAGTGAAATTGACTTTGATGAGATTGAGATGAGGCAGAGGAGCCTCTAACTCGCACTGTCCTTTCATCTCCATCATTGTCAGTCAAAGCTAGACACAGAGGAAGGAAGAGAAGGTGGACAAGAAAGGTGGAGGAGAAGGATGAGCAGATAACCGCAAGCAGTGCCGTAGAGGAGCACATGGGGGTGAAGATTAGCGGTGCTTCTGTTGAAGTAGGTTCCATGCTGATTTTCAGTGGCAGCTGTACATGCTGACTACAACCTCCAGAGATGCTGACACAAATCCAAACTGATCTGCTCGATTTTAGTGAAGTTCAGCCCTCACCAGACTCACAGTACGCTGTATATGTCTATCAGCAGCTCTGTAAGCAAAAAAAGGACTCTGAAACTTGTGTGGACTCAGCCATCTGTTCTGGACACAGTGTTGTGTTTCTATGTAGAGTTACTGTCTCAGACTGACTGCAGAAAAAAAAAAACCTCCACTGGGGTCTATGTTGACGTACCTGAGTGGACATTTTGAACCTAATTCGCCTACAGGCTGCAGTCTTAGTGGACAGAAATGTTCAAATGTGGGATGTCTGACTCTTGACAGGTTATTTTACTTCATGTTTCTTATCTAACCAAGCTGATTTATGTTCATCTCAAGCAAACCACCGGGTTATGGGATGTGATTTCAAAATATTCAGCGAGGCTTGTTTTGTGAGAGAGGAGGAGGACACAATTTCTGTAAGATAAGACAAACGCAACCTGTTTTCCTTCAGATTTTGAAGCAAACCATATTTTCTACCTGAGATAGCAGTGCTTGCTGGCCTGGATGCCAACTAGAGTGTGGTCAAAGCTTATCTCTGTCCTTTCTGCCAGTAGAAAGTGCCAGTCAGCTCCTTTCATTGGTTTCCTCTTAAGCCCTTATGTTGGTTGTGTCAAGTGTTATTACAGATTGCTGCCTCTCAGATTTGTCTCTCTTACAGTGACCTTCACAGGTAACCTCAGAAAAACGATTGGCAAGAACTCATCACAGGCTGTTTTGGGGTCAGTTGGTTTGTCTCCCTGGTACTTCAGTTTTGGCCGCAGGAAGAGGAACATTGCAGTTTAAGAGAGCAGATTAGGACAATTGGTCCTAGAATGCTTTTAGGAACTTAACTCTGTTGATGTTACACTAATCAAATCTATTTTTTCTCTTTTTCCTCCCCCCCTTTTCCCCATCTATCCCTCTCTTTTACAGGTGGAACGAGAAATAGCTATTCTGAAGCTCATAGAACACCCGCACGTTTTAAAGCTACACGATGTCTATGAAAATAAAAAATACTTGTAAGTATCACGAGTGGATTGTGGTCCCGTTTTGATTCATGTAAAATATACAAAATCGTATTATATACTACCCACAGTAAATTATTGAAAATATGTATAAAAATGTACAAATATCATTACTATCAAGTGTTCTTTTGGATGCCAGAACAGTCTTTAAAATCCCCCCGATCATTATGTTGGTCCACAGAGTAGTTTTGATTGGTGTATTATGATTGGAGGGCAACACTGATAGCCTTGGAGGGGTGAATGCTCCATTAGTATTGGCATGAAGCATTTAATTTGGCCGTGCACGCTAGGAGACTGCTAATAGGGAGAGTAAGACGCTGTAATGTAAACACCATGACACGCTTATCAGAGGCAACACCATAGCATTAAGAAACATTAGCCATGGAGAGTGGCAGTCGCATTGCAGCAGCTGCACATACACACACACACACACACACATGCAGGCGCACACATAAATCTATTAGCTAACTTTAGCAGCAGTGAGTGACAAGCCCATCAGTAGTTTATAGAAGCCCTCTTGATCTACAGAGGACTGTTTGTCAGCTAAATTCAATTAGTTCTCATCTTGAGCTTACAGGCCAAATGGGATTGGACATGCAGTACTGTACATGTCATCCTTTAAGATGATAGGAAAAGCAGAATATTGTGATTCATCCAATAAATTGGATTATTAAAATCACATTTTGTGCCCATTGCTTCATCACTTTTGACAGTTAGTCACTAGAAGCATCACAGAAGACAAATTGCTTTACATTTCTATCACCAGAGACTCGAGTACACTCTGTGCTTCACATCAGTGATGTCATTTTCAGATTTATATTGTTTAGACTCTTACTCAGATATCTCCACTTGAAATGCAATAATTGATAAACAGAACAGCGCATTTTGAGTTAGCGGTCCCAGAGCTTTTCTGATTTTTTTATTATGGTGCTGATGCTGATATCACAAGCTGTTTAAAGTGGTGTGGTGTGCATGTGTGTGTTTGTGTGTGTGTACAATAGGTGAGGGAGAAGTGAAGTGGTTTGCTACATAGCCCACCAATATTTTATTTATGGATATTTCATTGCTTGAAATGAATGATCACATCATGACGCTAATATAAATTATGCTTCTGAGAATGAAAAATGGTCGCTCAGAAAAAAATGCTCAAGTCAAAAAGCAGAGTCCATAATGCATATGAGTAGACTTGATGTAATAATACAATGAGCTGTTTTATTTCGGATGGTAACAAAATGATTATTGTAACACATGCAAGACCTATTCTTATTTTCTGAGCTACCATTGGGAAACAGTGAGGTCAGAGCTGTTGAAAGTCTCACATTTAGCCACTCTCTAAAGCATACCTTGCTTTATCATTTATTTAACTTTAAATGGGACAATAATTTACTAAATGAACATCACACTGTATTGAAGAAGAATTGAGACCATAAATTCATTAGGAAACGGTTTACTGAGCTAATAAATTAAGTGAAAAGTATGGTCATTTTTTTCATCAGACTCAATACTATTGGAGTTCTTGTTTGCAGCCCATAGAGCTGCACCCTGCTGGCCATTAGAATTAATTTAGATTTAAGACACTTCCGCATTTGCTTTACTTCACAGAACTGAAAGCTCTGTCCACTCAAGTATGGGTCAAGCTCTAGACGTAAATACAGGCTTTCCATTTGGAGTGTGACGTAACTAGTTTTTTTGTTTTGTTTTTTTTTGCTAGTTTTTAGAAAGCTCTTCCAAAGCCACATAAAATATAATACAACAGCTTTAATTGGAAGAAAAGTCCTAACGACAAAATGTATTGTGATGAAACTGATCGTGATTACAAAGGAAACTACTGGACTCAGGAGAATAGCCTTTAAATCATGGTCATATTGTTTTATATTTTATATATTTATAGTGGAAACTGTAAATTATGAATGCAATTCCAGTATGGCCATGTTTTTGTAAATGTATTAATGTGTGCTCGCTTACTTGTGTTCGGTCAGATTGTTCTATGTGCCAAAGCTATTGAGGTTTTGCCAGCTTTTTTTGGCATTAAGGGTTGTTTAGTGAGCACATGCTCTGTGGCCGGGCACAGTTTGTAACACTATAGTGTAATCAATAAAATTGAAGTCTTGCATGTGGCCGCACATATCCACAGCAGGGAGAGAGCGAAAAGAGTATTTCACCGCCTGTCTGAGTTTCAATTTGTCCTAGTGAAGATGGAGGGTGTTTCAGGGCAGGATATATGGGCAGGCTGGTCCGGAGCAGGGGCAGGGCATGACTAGCTTTTAGCCCACAGATGCAGCTTTAGGTCTGAGTTGGCAGAGATTCATCCTCCCCATCCCCTTGGAGCTCCGGAGAAAGAACCCAGCCACACAAAGGCTACATGAAGAGTGGCCATAAAAAATGTGATGGCAGGGGAGAAGATAGAAATGACAACAGAAGTACTTTATATCTACAGTAAGGAACTTGATAGGGTTCATGAAAATCTCTCTTCCTTTTTCTCTTCCGTCTCTTTCGCTTGATTAACCAAGTGCTGAGACAGAGACTGTCACAGAAGCTTACAGTGTCTGTACCTTAGCAGAATTCACAAGCTCCTAAATCCCTAATGTCTAATAGCTTTCATACAACTTTTCCATCTTTTTGCAGTGTAATGCATCTATATCATCCCTCCGTGCCCCCCATCGGAGATCAGAGTGTATCGTATATCCGAACCCTTCACATATATTGTAATACACTGTTGGCATGTTGCAACTCTAACTGTGGGGACAGCTAACGGATGACAAAATGAAAAATAAACAGTCAACCCAATATGACTTTGGGGAGATCAGATCATTGATCCTGGGTGTTTTGTCTGTATATATTGGCTGTGAGGGAGCACATTACTCTAGTTCTTACAGACCTCTGTGGTCAGGAGCTTACTTTGTTTCTTCAGGGCCTTTTCTGATGGCACAGAAGTATGTATGTCTGTCACTACAAGCGAAATATTTCGATCTCTATCTCTATTTTTCTGATGTGTGTATGAGAGCTGCTGTCCTTGTTTTATCTTTATTTCTTGGACTGGTTTTCCTCTATCCCTCTCTCTTTTAGATACCTCGTGCTAGAACATGTGTCTGGTGGTGAGCTGTTTGACTACTTGGTGAAGAAAGGCAGGTTAACACCTAAAGAGGCCAGGAAATTCTTCAGACAGATCATGTCTGCTCTGGATTTTTGCCACAGTCATTCCATATGGTAAGTGAAATGATACGCATGATACACATGTTGTGAATGGTTGGATTACACTGCTGCTGAAAACACTGAAAGAATGAATCCCAGCTATCCTAATAAATGCTATTTATAGATGCTATTCCTTGCTTTATGACATATTGAAAACAAATATAATTTTGGCACAAATTAAGGGACAACAATAAGAATGGGAAGATAATATTTTGGTTTTACCTTACATTGATAAAAAATGCATTAAAGTATATGAAACATATTAATTAAATTAAATGAAAAATGATTGAAAACCTGTGGAAACCTGTCTCCAATTACACTTATATTTTTGCAGTACAATAAAGTGGACTCGCAGTGCAGAGAGTCTGGTTCTACAACATACAGTAGTTGCAGTTTACCCTAAATCAAGTTCATTTTGCAGAAGAGTTAACACCACAGGTTTCAGATAAATATTGCCATAAAGCCAGAAAAAAACACACACATTCACTATCTGCATAAAGCCATCACATACATTTCAAAAGATAAAACAACCATAGGTGTAACAAAGTCAATTTGGTTGTCATACAACATTGAACAAATAATGAGTTCCCAAATGATACATTTAAAAAAAGATACAGATTCTTCCTGAAGTGAATTTACAATCTAAATTCCAATCAGTTTATTCATAGCTCTGGAGTGCTGTTTAGTTTTCAAGCCAATGATTCAATATGGAGATTACAGAACTGAGAAAACTTGATATCGCTTGTTAGGAAAGTGTTTATATTCCCTCTTAAAGTTTTTATTTTAATGTTCAGCTTTAACGGCTGAGGATCAAATAGAGTAAAATACAGAGTCACAGCTTTCCTCAAGTCGAGAAATATACATGACTCTATATACAGTATGAGCCAAATGTCTTAGAAAGGGGCTAATAGATTGTTTCCCATTAAACATCTGAGACTGAGAGGATGCTTCACCATAACGATGGTTGGAATTTTTAGAGTGGAGTAGAAGTGACGTTTTTGTTAGCACTATGCTATTTTTAGTGATGAGTCCATGTATTTGTAGAAATGGCATCCAGGGAGTTACTATGTGACACATTGTGTTGTTATTCACAGGAGTAATTTAACTGTTTACCAGCTCATAGACTAGAGGCAATCATATATACTTCAGAAGTCAAAAATGTCAGCAGGGACTCATGTGGAGCGCTCATTTGTGAGCGTGTTTCTCGTTTGTATGAATGTGTAGTGTAACGTCTGTAGTGTCCATCCATTTGTGAGCCAAAAGCAGAGAGTAAGAGTTTTTCTTTCCTCTCCAGAGACAAAATGCAGAGCAAAGGCATACTCTCTTTGCTCTGCATTTTGTCCTCATGTGCCTGCAGAGCAGAGCACAAGGACCATAGAGCAGAATGAGTTCAAGTGTATTTATTTTTACCTTGGTCACAAGTGAATCTCCAGTTACTTTGCAGTAAAAGGAATACAGAACTGAAAGATGAGATAGGAACAAAGAATACAAATGCATTCAACTAATTAGTAATCAGTCACATAAAAAACAATAATACCATGTAAAAGGGTGTTTAAGACCCACTTGGACAAACTGTAAAATATCTAAAACTAAAAAGCTGCTTCACATTTCAGGAAACAATACTGGGTTTGTGCATGTTATTAGTAGTTATTTAGTCTAAGTAGTTAGTAAGTCTAGTTCTTGTATTTGTGTAATGTTTATTTTATAGTTATACTGGTTACATGTGATACTATACCGTTTTATTGTCATTGTGTTTATTTGACCCCCTTGCTTTACTTACCAGCTGGAAGGCCAGTCCCTAATGTAAACCAAGCCATTGGTTATTTCGAGTGTGTATATAATTGATCAAGTGGGTTGATATTTCATAAGTCAGACCTGCAACACAGCAAAGGTACTATTGAAATTCCATTTTGAGGTCATTAACAATTAAAACATAGCCATTATGCAGCACATTATTGGTTTGTTTCCTTGCTGCTCTCACCACTATAATATTCACAGACAGAGGCCCAAACATTAAGATATCACCATAAAACCCTAGCCCGACCAAGGCTGTGGCACAAACTGCTTGCCAGCCCGTCAACTCATAATGACAATTTATGTTCCATCATAACTTTTGTGTCAAGGCTATAGTGTCTTGCAGTACTGGAGAGAGAGAGGCTTTTCAACTTCTATGTGCAGAGTCTAGTATGCTTGGAAGTTTTCTGAATACCCTGCTGTTGAGGATGAAGCCAGAGATAAACAGTTACGGTGTAATATTCCCTAAAACCTGGTATTGAGTAATACAAGCCTGGGAGATAGATATACATAATCTTGCACGGACAATTAAAAGAAAAGAATTAAACTGATTTGTCATGGAATTATTAGGTAAAATTGAATTTCTGTGATTTGAAATCCTTTATATTTTTGCACAATATAGTTTATAGAAGAGGCAATTACATTTAGGCTGCTGCTATTTTAATAATAAAGCCATTGTGGGAGCTGTTTTACAAAGTACAACCTACCACATGCTCGTGTCAAAATTACTTTACATTTTACTGATTATCTTAGGATGATGCGCTTGAGTTAATTTTATTGTTTGAACCATGAAATCGGTGGTTGGTGGATTCCAACAAAAAAAACAGACGATTACTCTCACACCACTGGAAATAGAGCAAAACTGTCCCACCTAAGGGAATGAAAGTTAGAAGTATTTTATCAGTCAGTGTAAATAACTGACTGTGAGGAGAACAGATTAGGCCAATTAGGAGAAAGCATCTGGGACTGACATTAAGTGCATGCACATACATAGATTATCACAGCTCTTTTGTAGTAAGATTCACTAGCAGATTTATCTCTCCCTTCCTGTTTTGCTTTGCGGCTGTCTCTCTGTCTTAGCTCCTCAAATCCCCTCACTAACACTCTTAGAAAATGATGCCTTGTAAATTTATCATGAGGAGGATTATTTGGGAGTGTTGCTGCACCCTCGCCCTCCTCCCAACCTCAATTAGGGGCAAACAGACAGACAGACGAAGCCTCTCTCACCTCCCTTCCATTCCCACTAATGAGATCCCAGCATCCCCTCAATAAAAAAGCATTTCTGCAATCATTTCTTCCATTTCTGCTTGTCTGTGCTGGGGACCTACACAGACCATTAGAAGTGCTCCCTTTTCTCTGTGATTCACCGTGCAGAGCGGGGTAAACACATGCTCCTCAACCCTCCTTTTTCTGCATACCTCCCATTTTTGCTACTTCTTATCGCCTCATGCTTCCGCTCTCCGCCCACGTCCTATACCCAAATATCTCTCTTGAGCCAGATGGATGTAAGTCTGGATGTGAATGAAAGAACGTAGAGAGCTGTTTATGACTCAGTGTTTCCTCTGCCTGATTCAGATCATGCTCTGATTTAGACAGTTTTCTTTTTACGTGGAGGAAGAGAAGGGGACAAAGTGAAGCACTCGAGGATAGCTGACGAAGGAGATCAGGCAAAGATAGAGTAGGATAAAAACAGACATCGGAAAGGAATTGTCAGTAAAATATATTTATAATGAATGCTGAGGCAATGAGAAAAACCTTCATTATATGTTCCTATGAATCCAGTGTCGACTGGATTCTGGATTCTCCTCCTCAGACACCAAGGCGAGATCTGCAAATGTGTGACTCAGAAAGATACTCCGACTGACAGACTAGTTAGAACAGAGATGAAAACACTACCCACATATAATGATAAGCCTTGTGTAAGTTTCTCTTTCAATCCCTCTGCAGGTATGTCAAAGGTCAGGGTCAGCTATTTGACACAGCTCTCCGACAGCTGCTTTAGATTGAGTTTTTTGCTCGAGGTCACATTAACGGAGTGGATGCTTCATACATGTAGTATAATATTGCAAATAATTCACCTCCATGTTTACCTGAGAGGGAATCCCAACAGCAGCTTCGGCTGCATCTTGTCAGTTTAGACGTTCGACAAAGTACACATCTGCTACACTCTCCAGAGAAGTCGATGTGGCAGTCTGCCATAAGTGCAAACACCCAACAGAGACACAGATTGATTGAGAGGAGTAAAGTCTATTTTCCTTGAACGCTTGACAAGCTGCTTGTGTGCTTTACCTAGCTTTTGAACCATATTAACAGATTATGAGAGGTTAGGTTTATACGTAAGCAAGAAAAATAATAGAATTTGATTTGAATGGCAATTTTCCTACACTTGAAAGTGCCATAGAAAGCACTGCATGGTCTGATTTCCTGTGATAAATCTAATGCAAAATGTTTCTATTCTCATGTGAGCAATGAAGATGTATTGATTTATTTTTTCAGTGTTTCTGTTGCTGCAGTGAGACTAGATGCAGAATAAGGAGGGCAGATGATCCAGTGTTGACACCAAACACACCCCTGTATCACAGTCATTTTGTCCACCCTTTCCCATTACACCACATTGTCATATGCTGCACTTGCAGAGATTTGCGTCACCTACATTTGCATGGACAGGAGCAAACACCACCAACAGAAACCATCCACAGAAAAAGAAGCAATCTCACCTTGACCACAGCACACTCTGTCCTCTTTCTCACCCCTGTTATATTTGTTTAGTGATCACTCTGGTCTTTCCCCTTCCCCAGTTAACAACCCAATGTCTGTGTGTTTAATATAAAGTGACTGTGTGTGGGTAAGAGATAAAGACCATCTGTCACATAAAGTGACTCCAAGCATCCCACTAAGTAAGGCAGACATTGCTAGTGCCCCTTGGAAGAGAACCCTGTCCCTAAAGCTCATAGCTCCATCATACATGCTCACACACAGTCACACATCTTCCTCTAATCCCTGACACTGATGTGAACATTATTTCTGCCACCTACATGTGCACAAACAAACACCTGGTCCAGAAGTCACATTAAACCCACGCAGTGGCATAATCATACACATCATCCACGTTTACCTCTCTCTCTCTCTCTCACTCTGTATCCCCCACACTCCCTCCGTCATTAGCTGCTTTATTCTTCTCTTCCAGGGGCTTAAACAGCCACATACATCTGTCTATGTCA